TTTCACCACCACCACTGGCAATTTTTTCCAATGCTCTTGCTAACAGCCAGTGGAGTGACGCAGTTGTCATCATAAGTCCTGGTTTCCACATTCCTTTCTCAATACATGTGCGTGGGTTCTGTTGGAACCTCGATTCTATACGAATGTTTTTTCATACGACCTGTCTGACAGATACACCTCACACCTCCAACTACTCATCGGTCTCGAGGTTGGTTGATAACTGCTTGTGTATGTGCATGGGTGCGTGTCGATCGTCATCTGCATAACTCCACACACAAACACAAAACAAATTTTCATAGTCATTTATGAAAAGCCACAACACGTCTGAGTCTTGTGATGATCAGATCAGATTGATCATTTACCATCTAACCAATCCACGTTTTGGTCATGTGACCCGGTTAGGCTGTTCTTTTATTCCGCAACTCATCTGAATCTTGCTCATGAGAAACGGGAACAACTGGTGGACAGAGATGAAGCATAGCACTTATCTGGTCAGTGTCGGTTGTTTAGTTTTCTTGGTTTGTACATTTTTCTTCACACTAATTACTTTGGATCCGATCAGTTGGCTTGTGATTTACGAAAAAACTGACTTAGTCCCAGGAACTGTGTCCTATGCACAATGGAAAGAACCAAAGATCGATATATACTTTCAGGCCTACATGTTCAATTTAACCAATCCGGAAGAGTTTGTTGGAGGTGCCAAACCCCGTGTGCAACAGGTCGGACCGTACACGTATCGAGAGCATCGAATCAAAACGGATATGAGTGAACAACATACCGGCAGTACGATTGAATACCGTGAGAGAATATACTACTACTTTGTTCCGGAACTGTCCGTCGGACCAGAATCAGATGTGGTGACCACAGTAAATTTGGCTTACATTCAAATCGATGTACAATTTGGTTGGTTACCAGCTGCAGTAGATCGGGTGATCGAACTGTTAGAAAATCGAACGGAAGATTATTTGATCACAACACGCACGGTTCGAGAACTACTCTGGGGCTATGAAGATCCATTCTTACGTTTCCTATACAACATGTTTATTCCCGTACCGACCACAATGATCGGTCTGTATTGGAATAAAAATGGCACCGAGCGGGAACTGACAGAGATCTATCGAAACAATAAGGATCAGGCAAGGTTTGGCCAAGTGTACAAATTTCAAGGTCAGACTAAATTGAGCGTGTGGACAACATCGGAGGCAAATAAATTAAACGGGTCAGATGGATCATTGTTTCATCCTTTTCTCCAATGGAAAGAACAGCCGTACGTGTTCACAGCCGATATTTGTCGTTCCATTCAATTGCGTCCAACGTCTGAGGTCAAATTCGCCGGAGTTCCAGTCTATCGTTACTTACCGTTTGAGGACACATTCCGTTCCGCGTTGAACACGGAGAAGAATCGTGGATTTTGTCTCAACTGGCCCAATTGTTTGAAAGACAATGTGCACGATATGACCACTTGTATGCCCGGTGCACCGATTGTCATGTCCCTACCACATCTGATGCATGTGAGTTACTATTTGTGGTGCTTTTAGGGCGCGTTGATTATCATGATCAACATCAGGAGTTGTGGGGGGGGGGGATCAGGGTTTATTCACAGAAATCTTGTCCCATTTAGAGGTTAGCTTATATGGATAGATGTGGATGTCACCATGATAGCTCATGATGCTCTGTTTAGATTTTACTGCTCAATTTTCACAAATGTATTTAAAACTGATAAGGCAACACTGAACACCCTGAGTCAAGTGCGAAGTCAAGTTGAGATTGTGAATAGATTTTGAAGCCTCGGTGAGATTGGAACCTACGCATGGACGCCGCCTACGCTTTTGTACAGCGCACGCTCTACCAGCTGAGCTACGAGGCCAAACCTAGAAGCACTGATCTTTTCACATTCGAATTTACCCATCCAAATTACAGAGGCATCCACCAGTTAACATGTAAGCTGACTGCCCCGACAGGTTTTCCTTAGAATTCACCGGAGTCAACCGAATGAATTTCTAAGGCTAGGTTAATTCTTCAAATAGTTGTTTGGGTTCGAATACCACCGAGGCCAATTAACTCTTCACAATCACGACATAAAAACTTAATTTTGCCAAACAACAGTTTGAATAATTCAATTTGTGACGAAAGAAAGAGAAAAAAATCGGTCTCAGAGAACTGAAATACAAACCCGGGGAACGGATATTTCATGTTCTGTATGTACTTTACCGATTTGCGATGTGAAAGCTTGGTTGAAATTGGCCAGGATCACCATGCATACGAATTTTGAAAAGAAATTCAAATACCAGTCAAACAAAACTGTCCATTTTCAATGGGAATATGGTTGGCTTTTTGTACTTTTTATAATTCTTTGGCAGAGGCAAATAGTGAGTGCACTCGTGTTGAAATAAGTACATTAGAATTACTACTTTTATAGTTGCGACCAAAAACAAGCGATGGTTTTCATGAAACTATTGAAAAAGGTGCTGTGTTGAACTAGACACGTAACTATAGCCAAACATAGCTAAGGTCAAAGTTTTATTATGGTAATTAATGACATCACATGTTTCGCTTGTTCCCACAGGATATTGATACAATTGAATCGTTTCTCGACAAACAATGATAACTCATAGAATGTTCCCATGGACAATGTAGAGTACACTGCTCAAGAAGAAATTTCTTTTCCGTATATCGCATTTAGTGGTTATATATATTTATATGAAGTGATCATAGTAGTGACATATAGCTTCTCTGTGGTGTATCTTATGTAACTTCTTTTCGCTCTCTCATCTTAGCTGATAACTTTTGATCTACAGGGTATCGCAAATGCGACAAATGTTTATGCAATGGACACAATAAGTGAGATTGATTCCATACGTACATAAATAAAATAGCTTCATTGATATACATCTTAAAATTGTAACATCGTTTCTTCTCTAAGAATCGATTTTTCTCAGTCCGTAATGATTTTTAATTGATAAACAGATTAAAATCAATGTGAATATTTTCGAGGAGAACATAGTATCACTCCCTTCATTGTCATAGAATACAGTGCTTAACAAACTGAGCAGCTGTGCACCTGTCGTTTCTCAGTGCTGGTGTAGCTCCGTGAATAACTAGACTTTGGTCACCAATTCCAAAAATTGAGCGAATTGCGCACCGGAGGAAAGGTGAAGGATACTTATATATATATATATATATATGCTCAAAAACAATAGTCTATTCGGAACTCGTAAACATATTTCATTTTCTTCAAACATGAAGTGCTTTTGAAAAATAGCTGACGATTTTGCCTACATCGATTTTACATTAGCAATAACTGCTGCTTGCTGCAGTGTGTATTGGTAAGTTCCAACAATCGCGGAAGTTCTTTGATTGCTACAATCGTTTTTGGATAATTAGTAAAAAACCTGCCTACGAGAGGTCAGCGTAAAACAAAAAACACTTTTGGTCGGACATATACAGCACGTGACTTAGTCCTTCAGTTGAATGTGCTTGGCTTGCTGGGATGTGCTTGCTTCACGTGACTTTGGAATTTTTTCGATCCACACCGTAATTCTGATCGATCAATAATCAAACATCACACACATGAACGCTGTTTTTCTGAATAAAAGCTCTGAACTGTTCAATAAGCTTGAGGAGGATTTTCCAGTCATATCGGATGATTAGTAGGTATGATCAGACAAAAACCAAGGCTTTGATGCTCATTTCTGATGAAAAAGACTGAAGCTGATAGCACTGAGCGCTGTTATACAACGAAAAATCAAGTATCACATTGCAAACAGACAGCTCTTCATAGTGTCCCATGCACCGAGTTGATGTAAATTGCTTGTCAGCCCGGGCGCAATGTCCAGTACTTTGCTTATCGGCAAACACGTGACGAAGCATTTCTGACAAGTCAAAATTGAAATGAAGCAAATTAACCCAAGTTATGAAGATCAGCGTTCTTGATTCGACCAGGTATCAGCCTTTTTGGGCATCAAACTACTACTTTAAACGGTTATGCAGATATCACAGAAAAAAGAAAGATCACCGAATATTTTTGTGCTTTGGTGAGATGATATTCAATTTTAATGATAGGAACGGTGACTGTGATAGTATATGCGGGGTGGGCAGCGACCGGGCAAGTTCAGGCTTGAAAAATACACCTTTCCCATCAATCTTTAGCCAAAACCCACATTCCTTTAGCCTCAACGCACAAACCTAAGTCACGCCGCAGTAGGCGAGTCAGATCAGAAAGTATCGGAATATTCTGAAGTCAACGGGTGTTGAAAAAAATGTTGATATTGCAAAACTTGGTTAAGAAATAAGAAGGCTTGGGGGTTGTATGCTGCAACACATGTTGATTGGAGACGGCTTATCCGATTTGTCCGTATCATCAGATTATTTGACACATCTCGTACAGTTTGAATGTTTCTGTATCACATGCGATACTCGCAGGAGTAAAAATCTCAAGTGTAACTCAAACGGTACATTGTTTTGCATTCACAATGCCTGAACTAAATCAGAAGGTATATGCTTACCGTTTTGTTGATCTAGTTGAAGTGAACTCTGTTCGTGAGATGTGGATACATTGACAGGTCGAGGAAAATAAGCACTGTTCACAAAAACGTCCCTTTATAAGACCATTTCCCAAGAAGTTATTGACAAAAATCATAATTATGGCATTTGTTGCAGAGTTAATAAACTTATGATAGTTATGAGGGTGTACGTTTATGTATCCCTTTCTGATTATCAGAGTGCACATATGAATGCAAAACAATGTACCGTTTGAGTTACACTTGAGATTTTTACTCCTGCGAGTATCGCATGTGATACAGAAACATTCAAACTGTACGAGATGTGTCAAATAATCTGATGATACGGACAAATCGGATAAGCCGTCTCCAATCAACATGTGTTGCAGCATACAACCCCCAAGCCTTCTTATTTCTTAACCAAGTTTTGCAATATCAACATTTTTTTCAACACCCGTTGACTTCAGAATATTCCGATACTTTCTGATCTGACTCGCCTACTGCGGCGTGACTTAGGTTTGTGCTTCGAGGCTGAAGGACTACGGGTCTTGGCTAAAGGAATGTAGATCAAGACTAAAAGATTGTGGGTTTTGGCTAAAGGAATGTGGGGTTTGGCTAAAGATTGATGGGAAAAGGTGTAGTGAGTACCGTAAGAAAGTTGATAAGGAAAGCAAGGACGAAACGCAAGATGTTTCCGGGGACAGAATTAGAAGTATCTTTTGTCAGATGGCTGATGAAAAAATCAAACATTTGATTTCCTTCTGTCAGCCTACCCGGGAAATAAAAGCGTGAACAGTGAGGCTGTATTGGGGACCGTGGGATTCATCAAATCAGAACCCATTTGTCCGATTTGATGGGGGTAGTGAAGTATTCAAACGAAATCAATAACAGGTGGTAAGCTTCCAAAACACCTCTCCCCAGTACAAACAGGAACAAGGAATCATTATAGCCCAGTTTTAAGACTTGATCCACAACCTCCCCTCTTCATTGCACCTCGAATGGGGATGAGGAGTTTGTGACCGTCATGATCGTCAGACAGACGAAATATCCTGAATGAAATTTACCGAAAATAGATTATCTGGTATATACAATATCCATTTCTTAAAAAAGAAATAATTTGAAAACGAGTTAGGACAAAATTGTGAACACTGTATCTCCAAGGTATCGGCACTGTTGCACTGTCCGTTCCTTCCTTAAGGTTTGTGGTTCCAGTCTCACTCGAGGAGGAGCTCATCTATCGAGTAAAAAGCCATTTTCTATGCAGTACTGATCATACAATAAACACAATAATGGATTAACTAACTTGTGGTTTATTAAATTGGAACTTGAAAAAAATCGAATATACTGAAGTTAGATTCACAGTATCTAATTAACTTGGCAAGACAGTTTAGGATTGTATTGTCAAAATACCTAATCACGACGTATCCAGAGAAAGATGAGTGGTGTAAAAGAGGAGAGAACAGATGACACATAAAAGTATAACCATCGGGGCTTTGTGATGCCGGCTTGTTCGCGAAGAACAACTAAAGAGGGGTTAGAAAAATCAAGGAACGTGCGGTTTAACAATTGGTAATAGATAAAAATTAGATGCTCAGTCTCGGTTTGACTGAATCAAACAGTTTTGAAAAGGCAGCTTTTTGGGTAAAGATGGGTGAGAGAAAATTGGAAGGGAATAGGCCGAAAAACGGAAGCATCGAAACATTGCCTTCGTTTTCCCGGGGGAAAGTTTGGTGCTCTTCTTTCAGTCAAACTCAAATTGAATGATGCTGTTTCTGTTTCAGTATGAGGCGAATCACGTAAAAGTCGATATTGATTAATAGTTCACACTGTTTGTTTCTCATGCATCAATGAGTGTGGGAAGCGTCGGAAGGAAAAGATACAGTGATCATTGTTAGCAAGATCCACATGGAAGCAGACAAAATCAATCTAATTTTTTGTAGATTTCCTAGGATTGATTTGACTCCGAAAATTTCATTCTTGAATTTGTCACTAAGCGTTGAATTGCAATCCTC